TGTATTGTTGGTCCTGCTCAGCTTAAGCCACACATCCCACAGAGCAGCAGATGAAGACCTAGCAAATTTGTTCCCTATTCTAGATGCCCCACATTATACACCACCACACCCATTGGTCTTGCTCCAACTAGAGGAGGAACACTAGTCACCCACAGAGCCTACGATTCCATTTTTAATCAGCAGTTCCATTCAACAGTACTTTCCCCCCAGCCATTTCAACATTTTGTCCTGGGCACAAGCGGCCAAGAATCACATGCTGTTCACTAAGTCATAGCTTAGACGTACAGGTTATACCACCTAAGTCATTAACTGGGGAATGAGCCCTCATGATGAATAGCACTAGGGCAATGTATAGGTGCTTCTCAGTACAATAGGCAACAGATTACTATTATTTGCATCCACTGTAGGGATTGTCTTCATCTAGATGCCTGGGAAGAGGAACATGCACTTGTGAACACAGATAACGGAGATGGTCTGGAGGACTGGCACCATCGACTACTGCCAAGTAGGATCAAACAATAGAAAGTGCTCTCTTCCAGAGCCCAACAGAATAATGATTCGTTGCCTGTTTGCTATCACAGGGATCATGACGATGGACACCTGCCGAGATTAGGTAGACTTTGGGATCACTTTCAATCTGGTACTGCAGTCTTTGAATAGTCAGTCCTGCCTGGTGGAGGCACCTTGATTTCGTTCACTTCACCCGTGTCTCTTCCACGCATGTTTCCTTTGACGTCATTCCCAGAGTGAAACAGGGAAGGCATTTTCCATAGGGATGTTTGAAGGAGCTGGTGTTCCTTGTGCCTGTGGGTTCCAGTCAAAGGAGGCGGGGCAGAGCACAGATTAAGTGTGTTCTAACTGGACAGGGGGCTTCAGGCTCTGCGGGCCTGCTGCCACTAAGCGTTCTTACACTGGCTCATCCCTGCCCCTGGTGGTCTCTGTGGCAATGAACTTCTCCATGTTGTTCCCTTCAACATGAGTGGTTTTACTTTGCAATATGCCTGGATACATCCAATTTAGACATGTTCTTAAAGGACCCCTTTTCTCATCGATGGTACCTCTTCTTCAGTCAAATGTCCGTCACTTCAGAGCTGCCTCTTTTAGTTTGCTTGGTACAGCTTGCAGGTAGTCAACCTTGTGGACGGAGAGAAACCAGAACTGTTTGTCTGTTTTGCTGTGTTTCTTGTGATCGGCCGCTTCTCACGCTAACAGGCTCCAGTGCCTTCATGCATCCTGACAAGCAGCACACCAAGGCTTTGGAGCCACTTCCCCATCTCAGCTGTCCTTGCAAATGGGCACAGGAAAGACTTGAAATCATCTTTGGTTGTTGTATGCTGTAAAATGTGAAGTGGCAACTCCGCTGCTCTTGGGGTTCACGAGGCAATCCACTAGAGAGACTCAATGGCTGCCCGCCAGATTTTTCAGTCATCTCTGCATCATCCTGGACCGGGCCTCCATCAATTGCTTCGCCAAGACACACAGTAATTTGTCCTGGTGTTTGGCCGGCCACTGGCTGAAATGAGTCATGCAGAGTCTGGCATTTTACTGGCGCGCCAGCTGTTGCCAGCTCCTGCCCATCTACATTAACCAACAGTTGTGGGGAATTCTTCTCTGTGCAGAAGAAATACTTCCACTGTACAGAGAGAGGCTTCCTCATCTCAACTTACGAGGGTGGTGGTGGAGGGGGGGAGTTAAGAGGAACAATCACAATGTTTCTTCCTCGTGATCTGCTCTGCTCTCTCGTGTCAGAGCTACGAAAGAGTCCTCCCTGGCTTTGTTCTGCCCGGCTCTTTCTAAATGGAAGGCATCACATGGTCCCTGCCTTATCCTTCAAGCAATACATCCAAGGCTGCAAAAGTCTCTGTTGCCGTGATGATGTGACTATGCGTCTGCAACCAGCCAGTTCTGTGTCCCGTTTGTTCCTGATGCCTGTTTGCCACAGCAATTAGTACTATTTTGCCTGCATGTTAAGGCTCAAAACAATTGGTACTGTTTTGCCCGCATGTTAAGGCTCAAAGCAATTGGTACTATTTTGCCCGCATGTTAAGGCTCAAAACAATTGGTACTATTTTGCCCGCATGTTAAGGCTCAGACTTTTTTATATCTTGGACTTTCTCCTCATTTCCATCTTCTCCTTTGGTGTATGCATGTTAAAGCTCAGCATGGCTTTCACCGCTTGGTACCTTTTGGTTGTTTTGGCAACTGGCATTACACTGGGCACTTAAAAGATCCCATTGTGACTCTTGCCAGATGGTGCTACGGATAGGTATTCTTGGTGCAGCCACAGTTTGCCTGTGCATTCTCACTACTTTGCCTCTACTATAACCCTCTTCCAAGCTCAGGGAACCAGAGAACCGACTACTTCTGCTAGTCACATTGTTACAAGTTAACTCCCCACCAGTGTTCCCTCTAAGCTGAGTTAGTGTGAGCTAGCTCACAGTTTTTTAGCTTCTGGCTCACATACGTTCGTCTTCGCTCAGGAAGGATGGCTCCAGAGCAAACTAATTGATGCAGTAGGCAAATCACTTGCTCACAACTGTAATGCCAGGAACTCACAAAGTAGCATTTTTGCTCACAAGACTCCACAGCTTAGAGGGAACATCCCCACACCAATATCTCATTAGAGAAAACTGAGGTCTCCAGCCTAGAAAGGAAGGATAAGCAAATGGGTCTCTCAGCAACTGAAGCTATCTGAATGTGTTATGACCAAATCCTTATGCAGGAACAAGGAAAAATGTCATGGAATTCAGATCAATTGCAGTTCGCAGAATTTCACCCGGAATACAATGAACTGGAGTAAGGCATGGAGACTAATATATTTGCTTTTGATATTTGGCTACAAGACACTGGGAAATTAATACATGTCCATAAGAAAGTCCACCCCCCCACACACACACACGAAATATAGCACTGTGTCTGCTTAGAAGGAACACACTCATACAATGCAAAAACAATGTTTTTCCCCCAAATAAATCATCCTGGGGCCCATGAGTTCCGTGAATCTAGATGTCCTTCCATTTGATGAGTCCATCCAGATGCTAAAGCTAGCCCTGCACAGAAGGAGAATTAAACAACTGGTTAGCTTTATTCAATGTGGTGGGGAATACTTTCTCTTCCAAGCAACGCAAAATCTATCACATCGGCACACCCTTGCTTGGGCCTTAGTGAAGCAATACATGTTGACGTGAGGGAACAAGTCAAGATTCAAAAGACCAAAGAGGGAAGTGCTTCCTTGATGAATCCCCAAAATCATACAGATATACGTTCAATATATACTTTAGCAGCCATGGCTCTGCCCTTGCATGGCCGATGTCAATCAATTCCAACACATTAAGAGAAATACTTGGGACAAAAGTTAACACTTGAGGCCAAAGTGACTAGTGGTGTTTTCCAGATCCCCGAGGTGTGGTTTTATCCCCACATCTGTACATGGCTTTTGTTCAAGTCAGCCAAGGCAACGCATGCTGCAAGTCCAAAAGGTTCTTCAAAGCCAAGCTCACATGGTACAAGATGACTGGCAGAACTGGCTGGGAGAAATGTGTGTTGGGGTATCCATTTTATTGACACTCCCTTCTCTTGCAATTCTATTGAGATCCCATATTCACATAATTTTAACCAGTTCAGTAGCAAGCTGAATCGAGTTCTCACAATTCTTGGTCATTAAAAAAAAATATCTGTTTTTACCATGTATCAAAATGGTGACCCTTCGCACCAGCTGTGCAGATTCACAGATTCAGAGGTGTAGAGCGCATGTGTGATGTTCAACTTCCTCACTGATTCTTCTAATGACAGAGAGTGTTGAATACTGTGCACAGAGTAAGCCAAGGGAAACAAAGCATGTAATTGTACAGACGATCTTGTTTGAACTGGGAAACCTCTCTTTTCTCTTTGGGAAGCCACACCTTTAGATACTGGATGCAAATATTTAGAATCCTGTGACTGGTATGGACATGAAGGTCACCCAATTCATCCCCGTCAGGAGGAATCTTGCTAGCGTGGATTAACATCCACATCACGTACTAGCTCTTTCACCCTGCCTTTCTCTGAATGCTATTGCTCTCAAAGCAGGCACAAGCTTGGTCAAGAAAAGCACCCACTATTGAGAGTTACCATGCCACCTGGAGATCTCCCAGAAGTACAACTGGTCTCCAGAACTACAGAGAGAAAACCCTGGAGAAAATGGCTGCTTTGGAGGGTGGACTCTTTGACTTCATACTCTGCTGAGGTCCCAATCCTGTGCTTCCCACATTCTACCCGCCAAATCTCCAGGCATTTCATAGCACAGAGTTGGCAACCCAACCCTGTAGCCAACCACTTTCTGTGGTCATGCTATCACTGAGGTACCATGTTTAATCACAATTACATTGTAGTCTAGAGAGTTCTTGGATGGTCACGTGAGGTCTTTGTGATCATGCAAAACACCTTGCAGACAAATACCATTGTTGCAAAGGGGGGTGGGGGGAGAAGACGCCAGCGGCACCCTCAGGACCAATTTTCCATAGCGTGAGCTTTTCTAGGGAAGTCTATTTCCTCATATGCATGAAGTATGTACATTTCATGAATCTGAAAGTCTTTTCCTACAAAAGCTCAGACTAGAATAGCGTTCTTAAGTTAGCCTCTTGGTCTTTCTTGCAATGAACTGATATGGCTACTCTTCTGGAATATGCACCAGTTGAAGAAGCACATGATTACGGTACCATGAGCCTGTGAAATTGAATACATTGACTCGGAAGCCTGTTCTCTTAAAATCAAGTTCCTTTGTAGTGAATGGGTCTTGCCTTCCCATAAATGTGGCAAAGACTGAGTGACACAGCTAGGATCCCAACTACGCTTGGGATCCCAAGTACACCTCTTTGGAAGCAAGATCCATTGAATTCAGTGGGTGAAGCCAAATGGGTATACACTCCCCCATACCCACACCCCAGTTGGTGAAAAGACTGCATGGGACTTCGATATTCACTATAAAATTAATTTATCTGTGTTTGGGAGCCCCGGTGGGTTTGCCCAAGCTGGTGATGTTTAGAATGGTGGAGCCACGCCCCACCCGATTCGTCAACAAGCTATCGCAGCAACAAGCTATTGCAAGCTATTGTTTATTCCAGTAGCTTCCTCTTCTACGCTTGAACTCTACAAAGTTTTCTCAAGGTTCCTGTGGTCCCATTCGGCAATCAAACTTTTATTCTGTTGTTGTTACTTATTTTTGTGAATAACTGGGAAAATAGTTTCTGCTCATAGGTGTTGTAAACACCATTTGCCAACAGCTTCAGCCTACTGGATGAGTTTAGGCACCATGCCAGATTATTCACAACGGAGTGCAAGTATGTCTTTAGCTTTGTCGAAGTGGGTGCCACATGGACACCGGCTTCCTCAACGTGGCCAACATCTGGTTCCAATGTGTGATGCCCATGCCACCTGCCGCTGGACCTATGACAACATGGCCAATGTTTTCCGCTCTCCCATCTTCACAACATTCTGCCACAGTCACCCGCAGAGACAACTCCTGTGAGAAGATAAGTGGATATTAATAACACTCCAAATGCACACAGATCTTAGAACGCTGCTACTCTGATTTCACCAACATCCAATTTATTTATTTATTTGATTAGATTTTTAAACTGCCCTCCCCTGCAAGGCAGGGCTCAGGGTGGTGTACATCAACTGGAAACAATTATGTATTAGTTGAACAATTAAAAACAATAAAAATACAGTAAACAACCTGATGGAATGGGGTTAAACCAGGGGTCATTTCCTGCAGGAGCGCATAGGAGCGGAGCTCCGGCAGTAAAGAGCCCAGGGGGTGGGCACATGCAACAAGCCCCACCCCCTGCTGCCAGCAGCTCCGGGCCACAAAGAGCAAGAAGCAGCCAGGTAAGTTGCAGAGCTCCCCCCGGTCCAAAACAGTCCAGTGGCACCTTTAAGGCCAAGGTTTATTCAGGTACAAGCTCTCCCTCCTCTGTGAGGACAGATCTGCATGTTCCCCCCCCCCCGATAGCTAGCAATCCAAAAGAGTCCAGTGGAGCCTGAGCGGTGGGTGTTGCCTTCTGACACACTTCCGGTGATGTCAGGGGGTGTGGCATATGCAAATAAGTTATGCTGATGAGCTCCTGCACCTCTTTTTCTATTAAATGACCCCTGGGTTAAACTACTGATTATGCCACTGCCTCATGGGGGGGGGGGGGCAAGAGCGCCAGACAGATGAAAACCATCGCTGTCCTCAACCACATGCCTGGCGGAACATCTCTGCCTTACAGGCCCTGCAGAACTGCATTAGATCCCACAGGGTTCGGATGTTATTTGGTAGGGAGTTCCACCAGGTTGGGGCCAGGGCAGAAAACCTTAATGGGATGGCCATGTAGATCAGTACATGTTAGAGTGGAGCTCTTAGCAACTTGAGGTGAAGTTCGTTCTTATACTTGGGATACAAGATGACCCTACAGATATATGCTTCACATCCTGTTTACAATATTTTTAAAGACATAACAAACATAGATACATGTATGGGGGGAAATTTCTTTTTGTTATATATCTTTAACAAGCTCATGCCTAATTTCCCCACACCTGTAACCATTGATCTAGCTCAATGTTATGTCCCAAGTTTTGCACCCATTTTATCATAACATTTTTAACCATTTCATCTTGAGTCTTATTTTCTAAGAGCAATACATAATTTTTTAAAATAAGTTTCTCATCAACATGCAATATTTTATCTATTTCTGATATTTTGTCATAGAAGCCTGTCAGCTTATCTTTGCTATATCTAGAATCAATTTGAATTTTTTGCCACCAAGTTAAAAGTTTCTATTGATTTCAATTCATTTCTAGTATCCAGTAGATCTTCATATCTTAAAGTTGTTTCTTCCTGGTATAAACTGGGGTTTGTACATGCTTCTAATGGAGCAACCCATCTTGGAATCTTAGTGTAAAAGTTATTTTTAATTTGTTCCCATACTTTCAATAAAGAGGCTCTAATATAATGTTGTTTAGAATACTTATGGGTATCTGCTCTCCAATACCATGTAAAGCCATGTAAAGGCATCCCATCCTAAAGGCATCCCATCCTAACTTCTATTTTCATCCTAACTTCTATTTTCATCCCATCCTAACTTCTATTTTCAATACCATGTAAAGGCATCCCATCCTATACTTCTATTTTCAAAAGTATTTTCTAAAGTAATCCAATCTTTAATCCAAGCCAAAGCCGCTGCTCTATAATAAAGCAACCAATCTGCTAGTGCGAAGCCAGCTCTCTCTTTGACATCTTGTAATGCTTTAAGCTTTATTCTTGGTTTTTTGCCTTGCCTAATAAATTGAATCATTATTTTGTTAAGTTCCTTGAAATATTTTTGATTTGAAGGGTCGGTATTATTTGAAATAAAAAGATCAATGTTGGTAATATATTCATTTTGACAGTGGCAATTCTTCCCATGAAGGATATTTGAAGATTCTTCCACCCATAAAGGATATTTGAAGATTCTTCCATTTTTCCAAGTCTTTCTTAATTTCTGTAATTAATTCCATGTAATTGTTTTCCATCAGAGAACTGCATCTGTTATATTTATTCCTAAATATTTAATCTTCTTTTGAATTTCTAGACCTGCTAATTCTTGCAGCTGGTGAGTTTGAAGTTTAGTCATGTTTTTACAAGCATTTTTGCTTTTTTACGGTTAATTTTAAGTCCTGCCACCTCTCCATAATCTTGCAAAGAAGTAATCAGTTGTTTTATGAAGTTCAAAGGATTCTCCAAGATGAATGCTAAGTCATCTGCAAATGCTAAGAGGGAATTCTTCCCCTCTTAGTCTAAGACCTCTAATTTGGTGATCTGCTCTAATCACATCACTTAAGACTTCAAGAGCAAAAATAAACAATAAAGTGCAACTCTATATGTGTCAACAGGGGTCATTTCATAGAAAAAGAGGTGCAGGAGCTTATTAGCATAACTCATTAGCAAAAATTATTTGCATATGCCACACACCCTTGACATCACCGGAAGTGTGTCAGAAGGCAACATCCACCGCTCAGGCTCCACCCCAAAAATCTCCAGGTATTTCCTAACTCAGAGCTGGCGAGCCAGCTTTACACTATGACTAAAGACACTCTGCGTTTCCTTTGCCCTTGCAGGGAAGCTACCCTATGACAAGCATGAAAATACAGATCAAGTTAGTATGCTTTTGCTTTTTCTGCAATAAATCAGGAAAACAATCAAATGATTATTTGGGCAACCACATGCCTGGGAGAGATATTAATTAAGAGGGTAATGTTTATAGCAGGTCTTGAGGAGCATGCGTTCTATTGCACCTTCACACACATTAAGACCAGACAAGGTATAATCCCAAACAGACATCACACCAGCAGCCATGTACACAGTGCTGCCCATGTTTGCCATCTACCATACATCAAGGCAGGCTATAGCAAGGAGAGTCCTACAGTAAGATCAGGTGAGCCGTGATCTGCCTTAGTTGGGTGTCATTACAGCTGGGGGAGGGGAACCAACAGATTTTTTCTAGGGGGTCCAACACACTGGGAAATTTTCTTACACAAAACCCAAGACTTGCATGACATCAACTTCCAAAGAGTCATGAACTTCCCAATAGTTCACACCTCATGCCATTTTTTTGGTCTGAATTTCTTAACACACCTTGGGTCAGCCCTGAACTAAAATCCAAATACTGACACTAAATACTAGTGGAGCCCATTCAAGTCAATTGACATTCCCGCGTCTCATTATCGCCTTCAAGCCTCTCCCATTGTTTCCAATGGGCAATCCTATCATTCCTTTTATAAATCCCAGTTAGTTGCCCCTGTGAAACTGTACCACACCATTTTAGGTAACAACAAAATGAAGAGCATGAACATGTGCAGAGTGCACATTTCATGCCAGTGTTCTCTCTGGGCTGCGCACAGGGCAAAAGGACATTTTAAAAGCCCTCTGATCTGCATGCCCCCCCCCAATCTTGTTCATGCATATGGTGGAGAGAGAGAATAAAGTTGTGTAGAGAGATGGTTGAAAATAACCTATTTTTCAGGTCTTCTGAGCAAATACACAAGGAAGATGCAATAAGAATCATGTTGCACATCTCACAAAAGGTGCCTGCAAAGAAGGGTACACTGAGAACATAAGAGAGCATAAGAGACGCCAATGTTGGATCAGGCCAAAGGTCCATCCAGTCCAACACTCTGTATCACACAGTGGCCAAAAATACCAGTGCCATCAGGAGGTCCACCAGTGGGGCCAGGACATTAGAAGCCCTCCCACTGTTGACACCCCCCCCCAAGCACCAAGAAGACAGAGCATCACTTGCCCCAGAGTCCCTATCTATACCTTGTGGTTAATAGCCACTGATGGACCTCTGGAACTGATGGACTGAGCAGCCTTTACAATATAAATTCATACAAATAATACAGATATATAGCAAAATATATCTTTTAAACAAGAAGAGTTGAGATCCATTTTATTTAGACAATTCATTCTTTTCTTTTTTTTAAAGGGGGAGCATTTTCATCATACATTTTACATTTTTTTAAAATGCAGCTAGCTCTGTAAGAAACAGGCACCAGATTCCCAATGGCTGGGAAACTTGCTAAATACCCCTGAGAATAATTGTGAACAGCCACTCTGCATCAGGAGGAACTGGCCACATATATCGCTTTAGTTCAGTTACCTCTGAGGCAGCCAAGGGGTCAGGGAGAACCCCTCCCCCAGTTCTCACTGACCACTGGGCCCAGGACACTAGAAGCCCTCCAACTGTTGCCCCTCCCCAAGCACCATGAATACAGAGCATCACTTGCCCCAGACCGAGAGACCCTATATCTTGTGGCCAATAGCCACTGAAAGACCTCTGCTCCAGATGTTGATCCCATCCCCTCTTGAAGCCATCCATGCTTGTAGAAGATCAGCTTTAAAAGCGAGAGGTCACCCCCCACCTCCCACAAAAAGCGCTTTAAAAAAAAAAAGCCGTGACGACAGCGAATATCCGGCACTGAGTGGCGGCTGAATCCGGGCGGAGACTAACGGGCGGCGCGGTGGTGTAATGACGCAGCGCGGTGGAGCCAGTAGGACGAATGCCGGAGCTGTGGTCACCGCACAGCTGCGCACTATGGGGATCCGGCCTGAGGGAGTTGCTACACAAATAATACCTGCACCAGATGCCGTCACCAGGAGTTGGATGGAAAAAGCCCACCACGAAAAAGAAGCCAAGAAGCAAAGAACAACAACAACAAGAGAACCCTGCTGTCCGGGTGCCAGTAGGCAGTAGTTGGGTGGCCCTAGATATACTATGTGGCCCTAGATAGGAATATAAATAAATTGTGTAAACTGCTCCGAGCCTATGGGAAGGAGCGGTATAGAAACCAAATAAATAAATAAATAATAAATAAAGAGGAGCCCCGCCCAACGACTCACCTTTTGTGGCCAGTGATGCAGAGGGTGGTGGGGAGGGGCTCCCGCAGGGCCGTTATGAAGCTCCCCCATTCCCCTAAGGAGGGAGGGATCTGGCTGGAAAT